GGTGGTGGTGGTGGTGGTGGTGGTGGTGGTGGCAGCAGCAACAGTGATGGTGGGGGTGGTGAGGGTGGTGACGGTGACGGTGGAAGCGACGACGGTAGTAATGACGACGGCAATGGTGGTGGTTGCAGCGATGGCAGCAGCGATGATGGTAACGACAGTGGCAGTGGTGATGGTTGTGGTGGCGGTGAGGATGGTGGTGGTAGAGGTAGTGGTGGAGCGGTTTCAAACACTAATTTTTTTAAAATAATTTTTAATAGTACTTTTAAAAAATCACTTCAAACACACCCTTAGACCCCTATTTTTCTTATTAAATTTAGGGTATTAATATTAGCCGTTAGATTAACTTTAAAATAAAATTCAAAGCGATTNAGGCCGCCGGTGAAAGTCCGGTGTAGTGCATGATTGCGTCCATCACCATCGTGTAGAGTCCCATTTTCTCTGTTCGGAACTTGGACAGAGAGAACAGAGAGAGTTGGGGGTTTCAATTTACAGGAGCCGAGTACAAGAAGCGGGCGGTCAAAGCCAACCCTACCAACCAACGTTTTGACATTTGGACATAAAGCAACAGGGCGGGCCAATCATTTTCGGGGCCGATGTCCAGAAAAGATTGAGATGGACCCCCTAAAAATTTCCTTTCCATTTTACATTCTATTATAAATTTAAACGAGAATTGTTGAGAATTTAAGTGATAACTTTTTTAATAGTATTGCACTAGTTATTGTTTGTACCTGAAAATACATAACAATAAAAAAAAGTAAACAATAAATATATTTATATTTATATTTAAAATCAAATCACAAATATAAAGAAGTGATAAATGAATTAAGCATCGGTTAGTAATGAAAGTGAGAGGTAATAGGCAGCAGTGGTGGTAGTAGGAGACGGTGATGGTTGTGGTGGGTGACAATAACCATGGTGGCGATGATGGTGGCGACGGCGACGGTGGTGGTGGTGGTGGTGGTGGTGGTGGTGGCAGCAGCAACAGTGATGGTGGGGGTGGTGAGGGTGGTGACGGTGACGGTGGAAGCGACGACGGTAGTAATGACGACGGCAATGGTGGTGGTTGCAGCGATGGCAGCAGCGATGATGGTAACGACAGTGGCAGTGGTGATGGTTGTGGTGGCGGTGAGGATGGTGGTGGTAGAGGTAGTGGTGGAGCGGTTTCAAACACTAATTTTTTTAAAATAATTTTTAATAGTACTTTTAAAAAATCACTTCAAACACACCCTTAGACCCCTATTTTTCTTATTAAATTTAGGGTATTAATATTAGCCGTTAGATTAACTTTAAAATAAAATTCAAAGCGATTTCAACCGCGAATAGCAAAAGTCATTTTATTTATCTTTTAAAATTTGAATTGTAAGCTACTTTATTATATAGATTATGTTACTATTAATTATGTAAACATGTATATGTACATATAATATGAGAGAGAATGTAAAAATAATTTAAATGTAAACATGTATATGTACATATAATAGTCCTAATTTAAAATAATTTAAATTTGATAATGTTTGTATATGTAGATACAAATAAATATGAGAGAGAGAGAAAGTTTAAATATGAGAGAAACTCTAAAATTTAGGATTTATTAATTTTCAAATATGTTTTCATGATATTTGTATTTCTAATTTTAAATATGTTTTTTATTGGAGTCTGGGTCAGTTTTAGACGATTTAATACAAAGTGTTTTTATAGTCCTAATATGTTTCCTTATGGATTAAAGCCAAAAAAGTCTTCAAATGGGGACCGGATTCCAAAAATCCCATTAAGAATCAACAAGAAGGCCCATGAGGGAGCCCATATTAAAATATCCAAGTAAGTTGATTCTTGATATAACTGGCATAATCTTCTTTTTTATTTCTATTGAGGCATGACTCTTCACTCTGGAGTATATAGGTTGGAGCTACATATTTCAATTTCATTTCTATGGCTTCTTTTTTCTCAAGGTGGGGGAATTTTGGGTTAGAGTCTTTAGGGTTTTTGTATGAGTGAATGATTTGAAAACTAGTAGGAAGGGGTATTTGTAGAAGAAGATTGGGTGATAGCTTCCTTACTTGGCCAATAGGGTGCAAGTGTTGCCAAAACAGAACAATGGGAGAGGAGCTAGTAAGTCAATTTAACCACTGTTCGGATGCCAGCTTCCACCATCCAAACGGTGCTCTTTCGTTGGAATTCTGTCAATTTTCTCCTTGGGTTTTATGCTGATGCAGGCCCCACCATTCGGATGGTGAAAGGTTGTTTGGACACTAGCAATATTGTCTCATTTTTCCCTTTTAGCACCTTAGATCCTTAGCTTTCCAATTTTGCTTTTTAGACCCTATAATTCCAAAATAATATATTTTCACCTATTAGTACAAATATCATTTAACTTTTAGCCCTTGAACTATTTAGTTAATGCAATTAACCCTTAAACCTTCATAAACAATGCAACATTTTAGGGTTAGTCAACCATTTGATGTCAGCAATTCGAAAGATGGTTCCCATATCAAGGAGCTTTAGGACTTCAGCTCTCACCTCATCCTTCATAATCGGATTCGAACATCTTTGTGGTTGTCGAGATGTCATAGCTTATCCTCCAAATATATCCAATGTGTGTAAATAAGGGGGATATCCCTTTAAGGTCAGAGATGGTCCTAATAATAGCTACCTTTTCTTCTTCCTCTAGTTCTAACGATGAATTGACCACCACTGGAAAGGTCTCCTTACTAGCCAATAATGCATACTTGAGTGAAGATGATACTGGCTTCAATTCTAGTGTAGATGGTTGACTAGCAAATGGAACATTCTTCTTCTCCATCAGTGGTAACTCTTGAAATTTATCTTTGAGAAAGAAAACCTACCTAATCCACAGATAGTGCGATTTTACGTGTGTTTGATGTGATTTTCTTGCATAAATCCTAAAAGATTTAGTTTGTTCTTCCTATTTTTACTTTCCTTATAGTTTCCTAGGCTTGTTGGGATTGATAAATAGGTAAAGGACTCTAAAAACACAACCCTAGGGTGTTTACAGAGTGAAAATGGAGAAAAATGCTTAAAACTAATAGGGCTAACCCTAGAGGCGCATCTGGACAGTAATATTGCATCTGGATGGTCCAAACTATAAGACCCAAACATGTAAGATGATCATATAAACATTTATTACGAACATGTTCACATGAGATATGAATGTGCATGATAGGTAACTACTATTGAATTAGGAATATTGATATGAGATATGAACCTGTATGATGGATATTTTAATATTTAGAGATTGCATATGAATAAGGTATGAGAATTAGTTGGATTGAATGACAATAGGGGAATTATTTTGTTAAAGTGTGAAAAATTAAATAAGTATGTTTGCATGTGACATGATTTTTTTATTTTATGCATGCTAGTGCATGTAGGATTAAGTATGTGGCAATCATATGATATCAACTTATTGCTTGCAAATATGTGTTAGTGTATGAAAGAAATAGATTAAATG